AATACCATACCAGTAAAAATCTTATCGAGTACCCAGAAGTCTAACCAGTTCACTTGCAGATTCAGCGTAAATTATCTGGAAGTCCCCTCGTCAATCAATGAGACTGGCTCTCGGGGCACTATGAGATGAAACTGAGTGAAGTACATTACAAAGATATACATGTATCGAGATATTTCAAATATCGTAGCGACTGAAACATGAGGCGGCCTGGCGCAGCACATTCAGTTGCCTGAGAACATCACAAACGAGAGATTCAGCTGGGTTCCAGGTGAGTCTCTCGAAAAACAAAATTAATTTGCAAATGAGGGGTCAGCTTAGTCCAAAAACATGAGTTGTTACTTTAAAAGTTATTGGTTGGTTTTTCAACCCACACAGGAGCCCAAGATAATTCGACATTTCCAGTGACTTCCGATTTTGCGGTCTGTCAGCTGATCTCGGTGATAACATAATGAGTGAATTGATTCAGACTGCAACTGCATTCCAGCATTAGTCGGGATGCCAAGCTGTTTTGTCGTGCTAACTCATGTGAAATGGAGGTATATTGCATAAATACATAACAGTGAAGGACAGAATAAGATGAGCATCACGGCATGCTAAGGTTACGAAGACAACGCATTCCGGCTCTTTCAGCAGGAAGGTCTCTCCAGTGCCTGTAAAGTCATTCTCCATAAGACATACACACAATCGGAAGCCAATGTGACTCTGACAGCTGGTTCGAGGGTACCAGAAAATGACTTGTTCCGAATGACCTAAATTCTAAAGACAATCAAACAGATCCATCAGTCACCGACAGTCAAGAGTACTGAACATTCAGTGCTTCCATTTCAGATAACTCAAAGCAGGCTACCACGTACAAAAGCAGTTAGAGTCAGCCGGATACGGAGAAATTTAAATAATCCGGGCACAGTACGGTTCATATTCGTCACAAGCACCGTGAGCAAAACTTCCTTGGTCAAGGCCCAAAGGTATTTCCGGAACTGTCTATCCAGACAAATCAATACCGAGGAATGCAGAAAAAGTACCTGTGTGTTCCAACAGTTCATGTTGTCCATAACTGGGTGAAAAAACAGACAAACTTGTGTGAATAGCCAGAGACCAATGTCACAAACTAGGCCAGTTGGTAGACAGGAACTAGCCTTCATTACCTTTCAGACACATAAAACTAACATGTGATGGCGCGGTGATCACAAATCGGGCAAGGCCATCCGTTTGTGACACTTGAGTTTCGGAGAACGGAGACCGAGTAAACGTCACATGAGCAAGGGCAATCGGATTCGATGACCTTTATGAGCAAACCAACAAACAAGACTGCAAAATAATCGATCTGCTGGAAGTCAACCAGTAAAAAACAGTATGACTTCTGTCCGATAGATCAAATTTCAACATGCCATGATATCAAAAATTCAAAATCCATAGTGAATTAAAAACCAAGCAGGAAAAAGAAAGAAATAATATGCATGAAAATCACCAAAATGAGGTTTTGCTATGCAACGAATCTCGCAGGAAATAACATCATGAACGGGTATATTACGCGACGACGTCTGAGTCTGTTGTAAGGAGTGGTTCATTATCAGGTTCTCTTCTTTGCCGCATGAATACGATAGTCAAGATTAGGATAACCATGAAGGCGGTGACAAGCAAAAGTGAAGTACCTACAAGTGCGACCAATGGCATAACATCGATGGACTGACGGAGCCATTTGGCGTGATCTGAATCCACTGTGACACTTTCGTTGACAAACATTATGGGCAAAAGGACCGAGGAGACAGTGGCGAGACTGTGGAATTTCGGGTTCCTGGTGATGTTTGCATTCACTTGCAGTTTCTTCGTGGCACTCAACACTAGTCCAGTCCTTGGCTCGATGTGGAATGTCGTGTTAAACTCAGCTGACGGGTGCAAACCAATCACACCATCCTGATAGGTTCGATTGGCCTGTGAGATGAGATAGGAAGATAATGGGTTGAAATTTGGATTGACTTCGGAGCAAGTGTTTAAAACTAGGACACGAGTGTGTTGCATGTGTCCTACAAACCATTATTCGATTCAATGCAGGGGATACAAAAACTGGATGCGATTCGCTAGAACAGATCCACATCGCATGGATAATTATAGATATGTGAAGGCAGGCATGCACAGCTGACTTGGAAAGCTGAACTGAATCGCTCTTAAGAAATCATTCATCGGACAATACGTACTCTCAAACAAAACTCGGTGATCAGGGAGTCCCAGGAACCAAGGAACAAATAGGTTGACTGCACGATCACCTCAGTCCGTCGTGTTGATCACTGTGCAGATGCACTGTACACTAAGTCAACCGAAAAACAACAGCAAAACTTTAACCGCTCCATGGGCTTCATTCGATTCCGTGAACAGAAAAAATTGTGGGTCACAGTGGAAGCGGACAGCAGCTCCACACAGTTGATCGGCTATAGGTTCATGTGTCAATATGTATGGCGAAAAGGTGTCGACCCTCGACTTGTCATCTAAGAAGCGGCAGTCTGCCCTGAGACATAGGTGGAACCTTCCTCCTTCGATTCAGGGATGAGCGCCTCAAAAAAGAAGAACTTCGCTCCATCTGCAATCCGTCCTGGTATATGATGAATGACGTGACACTACAATCAGTTTGCCAGCTCAAAACGGCGAGGTTACTGATGAAGTGAAAAATCGCCTGAATAATTCTGCTGGACTTCAAAACAGATGTGTGTACTGTAGCACAGGGAAAGAATTAGTCTGAAGACCAAACTCCGAATCTAATAATCCGCCGTCCAATCTGTTTTATTCTCTTCTTGCGCAACCTGCCGATACGTGCTTCATACAGCTGTCAAGATAGAGGCTTTCGGATGCTGGTACTTGAGGAATGTACTTGGAGTGCATTCTCAAGAAAATATATCAAACGAAGTCCACCAATAAAAAAAGATAATCGTTCAGCTGTAGCACCTTTTAGATGCCCAGCTGCCATGCCACCCAAAGAATGAGAGAGAGCTGCAATAATGTCAGGTTGTTCAAGCCTAGACAGAAGTCGAGATGCAGAGGTCGGATTCGAACCACGAACCTTCCAGTAAGTAAATTCGCCCTCCAACAATCGAGCCACCGTTGATACCCTGGCAACGATCAACTTGAACAACAAAGTTAAAGTTGACTCCGGTGGTTGGGAGGTTTCCCTCGCCGTCTACACATTGTTCTTGCTTTCAAAAGCCACATTATCATCGAGGCTGTCAGCTAAAAGTATGAACAGACAGGGATAAATATGATCTGCAGACTGAAAATAAATTAAACCACTGGAAACAGCGCAAGAACCTTGGAACCACTTAAACAGCCACGATCTGAAATATCCAAGAAGCTGGCTTATCCTCACGCATAAAACAACCAAGGTGAATAAGGTCCACAAGAAATCCGACCACCATGACAAGGGGCTGCAAGCCTCTTTTTATTTGACGACCCCAACAGCTCTATTGGCCATTCTCATGAACGTCGAACTGGTGATGTCTTATCAACGCAGGCCTTGAACAACTTAGAAAGTGAGCTTATTTTATCGTTTCAGAGAGCATGACTAGCCGAATTGATGAGTGCTGGGTGTTCAGTCTGATGTTCCTGTTTGTTGGCTAGCGGGGATGATTATTTTTTTAAATTATACTTGTCAAGGAAGCCATATCATCCAAATGAAACTATCTGACCTATAAAACTGAATACATTCTCGTACCGACATATGTGGTTTAGTGCACGAGACCTTCGGGGAGGGAGACGCAGGGTCAGGAGAGTGGCTAACACACACACACACCATATATATATATATATATATATATACGAATATATACGAATACATCCACCTACAATTTTTTAACATTTGAAAAGGCACAACTTCGATCTAGGCGGTCGGAGCGTGTGGTTTTCAAAGACAGCATCGTTATCTCCATAGTGTAAATACATTGCAATTTCACACTTGTATTGCAAAGATCAGTACTACTTTACTCCTCTCACGAAGCTCACATTGCAGGATTCTGATAGCTCCTCTCCGATTTTCCCACCACAATTGAACTCAGAAGCACAGCAAGCCAGCATAGCAAGCCAGATCGTTGCACCACTGAAGCCCGACCACCAAGTGAAAGTGACAATTCATGATCACGAGGTGGTCTTGGGCCAGGGAATCATCAAACCCACCAGAAATGCGATAGTAAAACTTAAAAAACGCATGAATCTGAATGACGACGGCGATACTGAAGAGGCGATTCGAACGCTGGATGCTACTGAGGACGGTTTTCGACAATGTCAAAGACGGGATGTATCCCTTCCAACGTACTGTTTTCGACGTTGGAGGCAGCTGATAAGCTAGAACACAGATGTCACCAAGTAACGCTTCGGGACACAGGTTGAACACAAGTAACACGTCTGCATAATTCCATTTCGAACCTGCAGGCCCAATCTTCCCCTCAATGCCACATAGCTGATTCAGTGGCTAGGAGTTTGCGATTTCGCTTTGAGCTCCTGTGCCCAAGCGGTATCCATTGAATAGATGCCAATCAACAATAGACCCTACGCAGTTACTTTGAGACATTCCTCCAATATATATTTACGCGCTGATTAATTGTAGTTCCGAGTCTAAGTGACGACTGATCTACCGGCTACGCGAATCTCAACATGCGGTCGCCGCTGTGCTGATCGAAAACCTAGACACCCTACCAATAAAACTGAATGGGGCGGATCACACGGTTCAAACATTCACAGAAGTGACAATGAAATGGCGGTCGCTTGTTTCAGACCAACCTGTCTCATGTGTACCCATGTGAAAACTTCAACTCAGTTCTCTGACTCGGAAAAGGAAGCAAACCTATCACTTGCATGGCAGGGGTCTAAAACATGTGCAAGAAAAACCACGAAGGCCTCAGTCAGCCAAAGACGAGTGTCTGAGGTGTTACATAGGCAGTCGTGATTAACTACATGAAGGCGTTTTAGGTCCTCCGATCAGATTGGTCAAGTGCCACAGCCTCAAAACAAGAGTGCACTTGCAGCTGCCTCGTATACATGGTGTTTTAGCCTCCGTGAAGTTCATTTCCAACACCATACATGACTCAGATTCGCAAATATTGAATGCACTCTGATAGCGTGTGCGTTCACTTCCTCTGTCGCAGTACGATTGAGACCAAAACGACCAGCAAGATGTGGCTAGCAGTATCAACAAACTCAAACCCTTCAAGTTTAGATTTCGGACGGGGTTAAAAAACATTGCAGCAATATGAAGGCGAAAACACCGTAAGCTTTCGACATTTCAGGTAGAACGGGTTTGTGGTCTGATCGTGGACGGACCCTATACTCTTATTCCAACTGCTGTCGACGGATTTGTTATTCAGGTTTCACAAATGCAATAATTGTCTAACAAGAAAGTAAGAATGTAAGTAGTCTGCATGCTCAAGAGTTCGCATGTTGAAAGATGCGTTAAAGGCGGAAGGTCTGAATAGCGGGTACCAAGCGGTGACATCATCAGTGCTTCATCGTCACACTGACAACGTCACGTCGACTGATGATGAAACGTTTGCAATCCTATTGCCAAACTCGGTGAACAGACCAACAACCAGGAACTAAGTTACCGTGTGTCGTAGCTTTTCGTCAGAAACAAGGGTACTGAAATAAAGAGCCCACGGTGGCACCTCCATCATGATACAAAGTGGATTCCAATGCGCAAAAGTTGTCAGAACCTCAAAAGTAGAAATACCTAGTCAACTAACTGAGATACTCTATGCTGCTGATAATTAGAACGTAGTCTAATGAAAATGGAGAAAGTCCTGGTTAGGTAAAAAGCAAACTCACGTGGACAAAATGCGGCATGGACATGGCAATTGGAACTCCGGGTTGACAGGAAGACATATCCAGAACACCTGTTTCAAAACAGGTGGGCCAGCGAGGGCAAAATCCGCGATTTTTTTGGTTTAGCTTTGGGGAATCAAATGAATCCTCCAAAGGAAGGTATTTTCTCGTCCGAATGCCATGTATTTCACTCCATTCTCGTGGGCTGAACTCCAGTGACCGACAAATATCCGCGGCGAATACAAATATATTCTCGTCCTGTCCCAGGAAAGAGGGAAACAACGAACCATCCGAACCATTGATTTGGTTTGCCAGTGAAGTCGTCCAACAAGACATTGAACTATGTCCCTGGTATTTCAGGATATGACCAAGTTTGGTGCGATCTGAAACTCCGCTATCGATTACATAGGGACCATCCAAAGTATTATTCTTTTTAGAGTATAAACCGACGACCGAGATGTTTATTGGTATGAGCGCTTTTATGTAAGATAAAAACGGGTCCTCGTAACCCCAAAGCCAGTCGCTCACATTGCGTCGGGTAATCAGCTCGTCGGAAAATAGTTTTTCTGCCATTTCCAAAATCGAGATGAACACTTTTGGTAACCAGCTGACCTGATAAGCAATCGTCAAGTAGACAAGGTTGATGCTGGATATGACGTCACTCTCTGGTCCCACAGACATAGCTCGAACGAAGAAGTACTGTTTCTCTTCACTGTAACTGATTGTCGAGGCTGCCTCGTTGATCTCGATCTGACGTTTGAAACGTCGCTCGTGATAGGTGTAAGGTCCACATTGCTTGACAATAGGTTTAGCACCCAAACGGAAATCCGTAGGGTTAGTTAAATTGAAAAAGTAGAATTGTAAATAGATTGGCACAGACGGTTCGGACCACTGTTGAAACAAGGGTAATCCAGGGTTAAGCTGAGCTTGTTCCTCAATGAAATGATGAACCACGAGATTGAGCGTGCAGGTCAAAACAAGGGCGACAATAATCAGAAGCGTGAAGATCGAAACTAGCAAAATGAAAAGCGGTTTTCGTAGCATGAGTCCAGCGAACTGAAAGCAACAAAGTGAAGTCTCCGGTCAGGATACATTTCGGAGTCCAGTGGATATACAGTAAGGATGGTACATGATAAGCCTAGGTATCCACATTAAAAGATTGACCTATTTCATGCAAAAAGCGTCTTGGAGGTAGTGAAGTTCCCAAAGATCTTTATTGGTGCAGTCTGTCAACCGACGCTGATTTCCATCAGAATCGCCACCCGCCTAGTCGTCCATGTTCTGGTATGATTGGTCCCGGAAACTCACCTTGCTTCAAGAAGACGTCAACTAACATTTTCCCCTCCCCACGAAAATACTAAAACACGGCCTTCAGGATTAATGCTGTTTGAATGTTCAGCAAGACTTCTACATATTTGTAATCAACTTCAGCGGGAAAAAACCAAGCAGCAAAAAACTAGGTGGTGGTCGTTAATAATTCTGCAGGAAGACTACCAACTACGTGGCTCAAGAGGAACACGATACCCCAGTCAGAAGCACGACAGATAAAATCAACCAACAATATGGACCGGAATCAACCGAATCAAAATTCAGTGGTAAAAAATAAAAACGTTCATCCGGACTGACAAAGTCTCTGAGAGTCACGGGATTGGGATGTGATTCTCTACCCACACGAGTGCGTGTCTATACAACGCGTTTCTGGGAGCAAGGATAAGGTTTGTAAATGACTATTCCAAGAACTTCGGCAGCGGGCGACATCACCGATTTAGTTGTCTTCCACAAACTGAACGAAACATTGTAAACAGGTTTCAAAGCCATTGCAAGGGTGATTTGATGCCCCGTGCCGTTCATGTTTGGCAAAAATTGACTGTCAATGGTAGGTCGCTGTTCTTGGAGTAACTAATCGAAATGTGTTCCAACATTCGTTTGGATAGCTACCTCTTAGATCGGAGTCAAAAAACTGGTAAGCACACGGCAGTTGTTCGACAAAGAAGCCTGTCCTTGTACTGCCCATCAGTGAAGGTGCGTATACGAGCATACAGTATGAAAACATCTGTACTTGCTAGTGTCGATTTACGATAAGGCTGACCAATGCCATCGGTTTCCTCTAAATTCGAAATCACTAGGTCGCTTGAGCGAGTGTAACAAGAATACTCCGGTGTTCATTTGGGACACCAAACCCAGAGAGAAACAAGAACCACAGTGTATACCGGACAATCTAGCTCAGTAAGAGTCACTTGTACGACTATAACACAACACCAAGAAGACCACCTTCCTTTCTATCTCTACGGAGGCATGCGAGTGATCATTTAATGTACATGGTGAGTAAATAGAATAAGCCACTATATTCAAATGCCTGGGATCATCCATCCTGTCGAAAGGACAACTGGAGGAGAAGGTTTGAAGTCAAGCAAATAGTCCCCAATATATCATGCATCTGAACAAAGAATTGTGGAAAAGAGCTTGAATCGATCTGCACACTTCGGGACCTCAGCTCGGTGGCCCGCTTAGGCCTAATACAAACCTGCGAGACGTGGTTGCATATTAGGTGCCCATTGTTCTCAAGCCTGATAAAGTGCTTGCAGACATTACCACCCATAATAATCATCATTAGACAGCAACATCAGTGTGGATACTGACGCCTCACCGTCCTGTAACCAGAAGGTCTACTCAGTTATCGGTAATTTCACTACTCATTTGCATAACAATTTGGTTTTGCAAGGGACTCAAGTGGAACCCAGCTGAATTTGCCGTTTGTGATGTTCTTAAACAAACTAACCTGCCGCATCAGACTACCTCATGTTTCGAGTAATCGCGCTACGTTGTATACACGTAATACACTACGTGTATTATGTGTTGCTGAAAACTCTCCGAAAGCCCAAGGTCGGTCCCGCCCTTCTTCAGGCTCAGCAGGTGCTTAAGAACATCCTAGACGGGAGACTCAGTTGGGTTCCAGTCGAGTTTCCCGTCAAAACCAAGTTGATATGCAAGTGAGTGTAATGGTCCAAATCTGTCCAACTGAGGTTTTTGCCGCAACAAAACAAAAGTACATCCCAATTTCTGTTAAGTCCACATCGCCTCGACCCCTGCATAAAAAAACAGCCATCGAATAGACCTTGCTGGAGGTTAGATAAGCACAAGGGATTGCAAAAAGGCCAACAAACCGACATGGTTGAATTTGATGTCAAGCACCGATGAAATAGGTTTGCATCAAAACTCCAAGAGACATGTGCCCCAGCCTTTGATACATACCGAACCAATAAAAATCCAGTCCTCCGCTTTTGGGGTACCTTGGGCCAGGCCAAATTTCAGTGATCCGCCAGCAAACCTGACAGGGGATCGAAAAGCAGAATAATAAACCCACATCTCTTAGTCTTTCATTCGTCACCTGTGACGAAAATATTTGTCACAACGGCCATTCCGGCTGCAACGATTACGAACTTACGACGACGGATTATAAAGAGTATGGCTCAGTGGGGTATGCGAGAGGGCACGTGGGTTTGCTGTACACTTAAATGCGGCCCTGCCCATCAAGATTGTCCTCTCCGACACCACTCCTGCACACTCGTGATGCACAATTCCACTGAATGCGATCGGTTCTCTTCTCGGCGTTGTCTACGGTTGCCCCTCAAGTCCACTGGAAGATGGCTTGTTCTCTTAACACTTAAGCAACTCTCACCAATCGATCACTTCCAGTATCTCTTTCTGGGAGGTGATTTCAACACTCCAAGGCCTCCTGAATGGAGTTCCAACGTATCGATTCTAGTGGACATTTTGCATCGGCGCTGACCAAAGTTTTTCGACACAGCTCTTGGACTCAACATGTAGTCGCACCTACCAGATACCATGCAGACAAACAACCATGCTTGCTGGGTTTGTGCATCACCAAAGAAAGATGAAAAAGTCTCCTACTGGGCCAGGGACACGGAACCTCAAACGTGAATTCGAAACTTCTGCCGTGCAGACTACTCAGAAATGCGGATCTTCCTTGGCGTAGAATACACTGTCACGCTAAACAGACCTGCTGACATTTTAAGTGTACGGGATTGCAAGGCGACCAGATAAACTGATTAGTTAACTCTCCTAACCTCTTTGTCTGTGTCAGCTGCCCCTACCTTAGAATCAACTCAATCAGTCTACCAGCTATGAAGCGACATATTGATTCCAGCTGCCACAGCTTCGATCAATGGAAGATGGAAGTGTGTGGGACATAAAGTCATGCCTTGAAGGTGTGGGCACATCTGGTTAGTTCAGAAACTGGGTTGCTACGTATTGAAGACGACAGCTTTGCTGTACGAGCGTCAATGACTGCGCAATTCGGCCATTTCTGCCAAAGTCATTAGGCATTGGTGAGTTGAATCCCAGAGTCTCCATACAGGGAGGCGACAATTGCCGACCCGACTAAATTTATTGGTTAGTGTTTTCTTACTTCTTTGCAGGTCATACACTATCCATAAGTCGGTCGCTTCCACTCGGTGCAGGACTGGGCTAAAAGAGCTCTGTGAGGCGGGCAGTCTTTTGGCATGCGAAATATATATCCTAACCAGCATAACCTATGAAGCATTCGTAATTCACCAATTGCGGGAGAGTTCCTTCTTCATAAGACCAACCGGCGTACCTCAGCATTCCTAACCCAATGTTTCAACAACACCTGACCAATGCTTAGGACACCGATGGTTGTATACTGACATCTTCCGTACGTCCTCTGCATGTAGGGGCCACGTTTCTAATCCATAAGGCAGCATGGATTGAACCACTGCAGTGTAAACGCTGTCTCTGACAGACAAGTTGACGTCACTTCAGCGCCGCATACTCAATGTCTGTGAGGTAACGTCCCGAGAGCATTTCAACCTTCGAGGTTTCAGAGAGGGGGAAAGAAATTTCAAGCAGCATATCAATAACAAAGTGGAAGAAGAAAGGTAGAGGGGACAGCGTTGTCTGGCACCACTAGACGAGGTGAATTCAGGTGGAAGCCCCTCATATACTTGTACGCACCCACAGGAGTTCGCATACAGTGCCCTCATGAGGGATATAAATTTGGAAAGGACACCTATGATTGCCAAAGTTTCTGACTATCGATACAATCAAAAGCAGCTTGACCGGCTGATTGAATTAGTTGAGACAGGGCCAGGCTGTTGTCTGTAGTGAAAGGCTTCTCCATCTTCTGGTCTTTCAAAATCCACCAGCATCCTCTATCATTTGTTGTATTACTGTGAGACTTGGCCTGTTCGGGCAACGGAACTGAGACGTATTCAGATGGGGGAAGCAAGGTTTCAGCAAGGCATACCTGTTGTCCAATTGAACATAGACTACGGATATTAAAGACTGCAGCGTAGATCATATCTCTTGAGGTTAGCAAGTTATTATTTTGGTATATTTTTATGGGCGAAGTTTAAGACACAGAATAGTGGCTGGGGGATTTACAGATGGGTTCATTGCATTATACGATGGATGCGGACGGAGTGTGGGAGCAGGCGAGTGAGCGAGGAGCTGTAAGGGCAAATAATACTTCCCGGTTGCCTAGGCCTAAGAAGGGAGTTTAGTTGAGGTACTTCACCCTGAGCTTTTGAGTCAAAAGTCTGACGCACAAGGTAGTGGTAGGATGTAGGGTTTTGTTCGGGGACCCTGACCCTAACCTCTGACTCGAAAGTCCGAACTGTGGGACAGCACTTAGGGATTTTCTTGGGAATCCTGCCAGGAGCCAATGAGTCAATAGTCTGATCCACTTAGCTGGAGGGGCCCGACCTGGCCCGACGCAGGGAGTAAGGCATTACTGTCTCACCCCTGGTGCAGCTGCACACGGGCAGGTACCTTTTGAGCAGAACGACTCTTTGGTTTTAGAAGTATTTCGACCGTAGTAAATAATGCACCGGCGGTCACGATGAACCGTTGGGCGACCGGAGTGTGCGGTTTTTCGGGGCAACCCTTACTAACCCATCCTTCCTCGAAGGAAGGCAGTATCGCTGCTTCCGTTAATGCGCACACGGTGGTCGCCTGCGGGAAACCCTTTACTGCCTTCATACTTCTATCGCAGAGGACAGTATGGCTTTACCACCTCGTAATAAGACTTCTTGCAGTACGGGGACCCGCCGTCTTACTGGCCTTACTTGGACCTATAGGAACTAAGTTCCAGCAAGCATAGCCCGCAGGATCGTTGCAGCACAGAAGCCCGACCACCATGACAGGGTGACAGCTTTAGGTTGGAGCCTGTACAACATTGTCGTACAGAACAACTTGGGGCAGGCCATCAGCGTTCAAGAAGCCTTCCCGAATAGCGGGCGTGTATCAGAAGATCGCCATCTAGATGCGCGAATACTGAACCACAGCGAGTTCGGAGGGAAGTCGAAACAAGCCACCACCTGGCGACGGATAAGCCGACACCAAATTTATGACCAAAGCGATGGTAGCTGTTAAAGAACGCCAATCTAACTGACTGGAGCTCAAGAGGGTAGCTTCTACTTAACTGTGACAAATACAACGGCCATCAACAACAGTGACAGGCAAGCCTCCCGGAGACAGAACGTTTAACATACAGGAAATTATTGTCACCCATTTTCTTAGCAAGCGATGAACCAGCAGAGGTAAACTCAACACCAAAGTTACGAATTTTAAGCTGGATTGGGTCAGCTGTGCAGAAGTAGCGAAGTAAACGGACAGATCAGCCACGAGCGCTGACCTCGACGCCAGTGATTGCGGCGAGAGCTCCACAACCACTAGCCAGTTAACCGAGACGAAGTCCGCTTCGAAGCATTCATCTCATAAGGTATCTGTAGTAAAGACAGTCGCCAGGGATTCATCCGGACATGCGAAATTAGCAGACGCAAGGTCCAACATGTTCAAAGTTTGATCGTGGATTTAGTTGTCACCTATGGCCCCGGGGGCCAGTCACAAATCCGACAACACTGTGCCTGAAAATCCCATGTGTACTGAATTGGTTGTGCTGATCGCGGACGACCTGCAAGTCCATACAAACACCAAAGGAAAGATACCGCGGTCGAATAAGCCACATACACCTCACCCAACCAGAAAGCTGTCTGCTGAATTCAAGGAACAGACCTATGCAAAAACCAGCCTCTTTGGAGTGACACCAAAAAAGTGTTCCTAGGCGGTCTCATCCAACACACAAGCAAACCAACAGGACCACAACGACAGGTTGGCAACCAAACTGTGCATGGAAGCCCAAAGAACCAAGCAAAAACATATTTTGGGTACATCTACGGTGAATCTGTGGCGAACCCAGGAGCACAAAATTTGGCACTGAACGAGCCACAATTATCAACGTTCGAGATTTTCGGTAACTAAGGAAAATATCCGAGTCTCATCGTCACGCACACCGGACCCCGAGCGGGATAAGTACCCCTTCAAGCGAGCAGCAGGCATTAGGAGCACCAAAGCCGGAAGCAGACAAGTGCGTCGCAGAGGTCCCTTCGAAGCACCGGATTCAAACCCGGCATAGACATCTCAAATTTGCCGTTTCTGGTGGCGGACTTCTCTGCTCCCCACCTTTAGACGCGGCAGAGGTTGGGTTGAAGTGCTTGTCCTCAAACAAACACCGCCTTTTCAACAAACTTATCGATATTTGACAGTCGACTTGCTTTCAACAACCGCCCAAAACCGTGCTTACAGAAACCTGGATCATGCCAGACGTTCCTCACATGAAGCTCACGGTAGACGGCAACTAAATTCCCAAAACCGATTCAAAAAGCAGGAGGGGGTGTGGGGTTGTCCTCTACTTACTTGCGGCCCTGCCACCCAGGCTACCCTTTCCGACATCACTACTACACTTTTTTGATGTGCTATTGATTCAACTTCCACTGATTATTATTATAAGTACCCTACATAATTGTACTGAACCCTTATGTATACAGTTCAGCTCATTCGCGCTTGTTCTTGGATAATTAAAGCGTTTATCCTCGATAACTCTGAATCTCTTCTAACTCGTTCTCGGACGCATTCTAAACGTCTCACCGTATCCACCAAGCTCATCGGAAGACAAACATCACCTCGAAAAACACTTAATCAATTTTCCTCTAGGATCGCTTGGTGGTATGTGATTTCAACGCTCCTGTAGCACTTGTAAACTGCTCTTTTTCATGCTCAGTATCATCTTCTTTTTTCCCATCATTACCAGTCACATCGCTGTACAAAAGTTTGTTTTACTGAAATACAACCGCTACCACCCGCGCGTTGGCTCCAACGTGACTTTGAGACTTCTGCTGAGTGACTGTTGTTGTGACCGCCGGTTAGCTATATCTGACCGCTGCTAATACTAAACGTGAACAAACATTTCAGCTACGAACGCTGGACTAATATATTCGCGCTTGTGGAATAATATTTCGATCACCGGAGATCTGGGATACCAGGAAGATAGAACTATTCTTTGTGTGGTGGTTCAACGGAATACGGAACTACGGAATCTCCTATTTTGATCTGTGAGTCAAGATTTACTTGTATTTTTCTCTTTGTGACTTTGTATCTGGCTTACACCAGTAATTTGTTCAGTTCACTAGAGACTCCATAGGGCCGTTAACCACTACACTCCTAAACCACCTGAATGGAGTTCAGACGCATCGGGTCCAGTGGGCATTTGGCATCGGCGCTGGACAGAACCCTTAGACTCAGCATGTCGTCGCACACACAAGATACCAAGAAGGTCAAATACCACCCTTGCTGGATCTGATTATCATCACCCAAAGACACTTCGCCGATTAGGTGTTAAGATAGACTCCAGTGGAACATAGAGCCCACCGCGTGCCGACTTTTGACTTTAGCTGCTACTAGGCGAAGAACATCAAAAGTGGGTTCGAAACTTCTGTCGTGCGGATTTCTCAGGAATGCGTACATTCCTTGACCAACTTCAGCGGAGGAGACACACAGCACCACAGCCCGTGAAATTCACGAGGTTGACACGGTGATCGTCCCCTTAAGACCAGCACACAGTCGAACGGACCGTAAGCTATCTAAATAATTCGGCATCTTCTTAGGACGAGACCCGAACTATTCTCCAAAAAGACAGTTACAGGGGACTCGGAAGACGAGCCGGCACTCTTTATTATGCGTAACCTACGTGAATCGGGAGCCCGTCAGCAGAACATGGGAACATGTGCACATAATCCTCTCAAATGCATAAGGGCACACAGGCGAAATGAAGTAGGCTGTGTGACCCCCGATTCACAGAATTTCGAAAATATCACCTCTTGATAGGTTTCCATATAAGCACAATTCCGACGAGACTTTAAACAAAAATTAACGGGCCTCTGTAGTGTGTATACACATATGTGAGCGCCAGGGGACAGTGATCCTAAGAAGGCGGGACTGAACACATAACTAAGGCTCATTAGTCGAAACGCAGAAAGCAAGTTTGCACATAATCACTAACTACATAAATTAAACACGAATTACTTTACACCCCCGAGGCCTTCAACCACGCGCCAAGGTCAGTTGATAGGTCTCCGGTCGCACGAACAATCAGCTCAGTTCAATGATGCGCGGATTGATACACAGGCTTTTGCCCAAGTTTCCCGGGTCGGTTTTGTTCTTGTCAGTCAGTGGCTGTCGTTCAACTGAAAGGCACAAGTGAAAAAAGCGTGTAGCACTGCTCTTTATGTTCTCAGCGCGGAGCAGTATGCTTGCCAGCTCGAGGATTCGCATAAATAAGTGTTGTTGTTGTTGTCTACTAGTGCTTTAAACTGGATTCTAGAAGGAGCGTGGACAACCGCCGGAGGAAGGGAGAGTCCACACAGCTACTACCCGAAATGAGAAAAAATTTTGTCTAATGAATGTGTGCGCTCTGAGCTTGAAAATCTTCTTACTATGTTCTCACCGTGTGATTACTGAGTCAACGGTGAAAAAACTTTTTCCCAAGCTTTGTTCAGACAGGGCATAAGTAAGAATTAGGTCCCATCGGAGGTGACGGTACTCCAGGGTAAAGAGATCCAGCATCGCGAGACGCGTCTCGTAGTCCACGGATTTGAGGCCGGCAATCATTCTCGTGCAGCTCGCTGGACGCGCTCAATGAAGGTGACGTCCTTCGTGCGTCCTGAGTGGACAACTTGGTTGGCGTATTACAGGAGCGGTCTGACGTAGGCCACATATAGTAATTGGAAGTCCATGGGAGTAATACGGGAGACGGTGCGTCGGATCATCCGTAGAATGGCGAATGCCTTTTGGGCCGATTTCTCATGGTGCAGTGAGAGGGACAAGTTTGAGAATACCCAGGTGCCAAAATCCTTTTTGGCGTTTATCCCCATAATGTTTTCTGGTCCTTTCTCACCACGCATGACAAAGGCATTCGCGAGTCTCCTCTGAATGACATGTGGACGCACTTTTCGTCGTTCAGAGGAAGGTGCCAGTCCAGCGACAACTGCTTTGCAAGGTCTACAACCATTTGGAGGGCACTGGCATTGGATTTCAAGTCGTCCACAAAAAAATAGACATGAACTTGCAAGAACATCTAGAAGATCGTCGACCTATATCAGAAACAGCAGTGGTCCCAGGAGCCTTGAGGAACTCCAATGGAGACCGGCGCTGGAGAAGAGTAGGCCGAGCCTATTCTCCCTCGGAATGATCGGTCTCATAGGAACGCCTTGATCCAATGAAGGAATTTCCCTTGAATCCTTAAGACTCGAGCTTTTGGAGCGGCGGGGTGTGTGGTACCCTATCAAATGCTTTTGGGAAGTCGAAAAATATGGCGTCCGACATGGTTCCCTCGTCCTTGGCTTGGGTTAAGCTGTCCATAAACACGAGCATGTTTGTCAAGCAAGAGCTGTTTGGGAGAAATGTGTGTTGAGCTGGAGATATCAGGTTGCTGGAAGTAAGGTGATCTAGGATATCTCGCTCAAGAATGTGTTCCATCACCTTGCACGGCACGCTAATGAGGCTTAAAGCCTTTTAGCTGCCAGGCGACAGTCGGTCACCAAAAGGCATTCGCGAGTCTCCTCTGAATGACATGTGGACGCACTTTTCGTCGTTCAGAGGAAGGTGCCAGTCCAGCGACAACTGCTTTGCAAGGTCTACAACCATTTGGAGGGCACTGGCATTGGATTTCAAGTCGTCCACAAAAAAATAGACATGAACTTGCAAGAACATCTAGAAGATCGTCGACCTATATCAGAAACAGCAGTGGTCCCAGGAGCCTTGAGGAACTCCAATGGAGACCGGCGCTGGAGAAGAGTAGGCCGAGCCTATTCTCCCTCGGAATGATCGGTCTCATAGGAACGCCTTGATCCAATGAAGGAATTTCCCTTGAATCCTGTAAGACTCGAGCTTTTGGAGCGGCGGGGTGTGTGGTACCCTATCAAATGCTTTTGGGAAGTCGAAAAATATGGCGTCCGACATGGTTCCCTCGTCCTTGGCTTGGGTTAAGCTGTCCATAAACACGAGCATGTTTGTCAAGCAAGAGCTGTTTGGGAGAAATGTGTGTTGAGCTGGAGATATCAGGTTGCTGGAAGTAAGGTGATCTAGGATATCTCGCTCAAGAATGTGTTCCATCACCTTGCACGGCACGCTAATGAGGCTTAAAGCCTTTTAGCTGCCAGGCGACAGTCGGTCACCAGTTTTGTAGATTGGCGTGACGATCGCTTACTTCCAAGTAGAGGGACGGCGGCCTTTGTCAACCGACTGGCGAAACACCAGGTGTAAAGAATTTGCCAGAGTGGACGACGTTTTCATCAGGATCCTTGGGTGGACCTTGTCGGGTCCCAAGGCGCAGAATGGGTTGATCTTGTGCAAGAGTAGACGAATTTCTTCTGCGGTGAAGACCAAGTCGGTTAGAGGCTGTTCGTAGTTACGCCTTGACAAGAGTGGGTGTGACGAGGACACTGGATGCTTGCTTCCACTCTGGCATAACCATTTGGCGTGGAGCGATTTATCAGGCTTGGTGAGGACACTGCTAAGGATCGATGGTGCCGGCTTCGCTCGCGTGAGTGTTCCGAAGAATGGCCCCCCAAATTATCAGTCTGTTCTCTTGTAAGCGCCTGTGCCGCTTTTTGGGGTTCTCCTCTTGGCTGCGGTATGCGTTGCACTCTTAACGTAGAGGCAGCTGGCGCAGACAAACGGGTCATGGGAGTTAGCAAATCGGCCTAGCTGGTCGTCCTGTAAACCCGTGCATTTGGGGTGCCACCAGGCCTCGCAGGGGTGGCGTTGCACACCGTGTTTGACGTTCGGCGGGCAGCCATTTCACCCACATATGCTGTAATCTGTCAATGGCTGCAGGGGCAGTCTGTATAAATTGATATCATGTTTAGGACTATATGCAAAATAGGAAGTGTGCGCAAAATAACAAGGGTTATCTCTCAAATGTTTTGTTAGAGTATTAAAATTCGAAAATAACTTGTGCGTACACTGTGAATAGATTGAACAAAGAAGAAATTCTTTCACAAATTTGCACGAGGGAAAAACGAAACCGAATTTGAACTTCCCGCGCGATGCGTGTGTGCTACCCGTTTGCGCAAGATCTACAAGTCAAAAGGACAGGTGGCTGTTATGTGCGTCATAAAGGCAAATGAGGAAAGTCGAGTGTAGCCCTGCTCCTCAAATTTCGATTGGTGAAGTCAATACCAAATACAGGAATTACGGTTCCACTGATTCACGGATTGATACACAGGATCGAGGCTTTCACCCAAATTTTCTCGTTCGGTTTTGCGCTTGTCGTTCTGCGGTTACCGTTCGCTTGAAGGACATTAGGGGAATAATGGTGCAGCACAGCGCAGTACGTTCGGAGTCGGTTTCGTTATTTCCTCATACAGATCTGTGAAAGATTTCTTTCACTGTTCAATCTATTTACATAGTTCACACCTATTATCTGTTGAATTCCATCAGCATAATATAAAATGCGCGTGATAACTTCTGTCAGTTTGCACTCATTTCTTGTGGTGCACCCCGTCTCTGTCACAGCACAAGTCAATACAGACTGCTCTCTACATTCACTGATGGACCGAAACGGACATGAGCGAAATTGGCGCCCCTCGAAAGTGAGATGTGGTGTATAAGGCTACGCCTCTAATGCCTGGTGGCAATTCAAATGCACAGGTTTACAGAACGATCAGGCGAGCCAACAAGCTAACTCTCCTGACCCGTTTGTCTGCGAAATTGGCCTCTACCTAGAGGTGTAGTGCATTCCGCAGCCAAACACAGAGCCATCGAAAACGAAACCAAACGCCTGCTGCTAAATCAGAAACACCAACGTGAATGTTTCGCTTTCATAGGGATGATCGACTCAGACCTGGAGCGCTGGAGAGAACAACCACAAAAACGTGAATGACAGTTGACAACTAACTTTCTTCCCTGAACGAGTACCTTGGGCTACCCATCCCAGGTACGCTGCCGTGAAGGTTATCCAGCTCTGTAGTGCGGCAATAAAGAACGCCATGGCGCCTCTAGTGGACAGGTGCATGAGGGACAACAGACCAGTCATCTGGAGGTCGATCTCCAGAAAATTCATGCCAACGAAGAGGGCACAATTGTTACACGGTAATGCCCTCGCATAGCATGATCACGAATCGCTTCACAAAGATTGGTCACGCCAGAAGGGAAACAAGCATACAGTTGAGCTTTAAGTCGCTCTTTCCTCCCCGTCCACCAGAAAAAGATCTTGGATCGGACTTTCAGATTTCAGAGGTCTTAACTAACGATCGGGCCTACAGCTGACGATCACTCTCTAGAGGCACGAAATCTGGGCCTAAACAGTTCTAGGGGAGAGGTGCGAAACAGGCTGGCACTTGGAGCCAGTTCAGTCCACCCCAAAATTATTTCCAAACCGACGGTAGGTATAGAATCTTGTGCTCTTGAAAGCACGCTGACGCAACCGACCGTGACTCCGGATTGCGAATTCTACCCAACCACCGCAGACCCCCCAGGGTACCGGAGGCAATGCACGGGAAGATGCAAGCTTCCCGTGAACGCAGCGCCCAAAGTACGTAGTACTATCGTAGCTTATTTCCGTAACAGACGATAAAGGTGCCGAAGTGAACCCCACGCCTAAGTCACAGCTTCTGAGCTGGACGTGCTGGTCAGACGTGCGGAGCGTCGACCTGGAAATCGCCCAGAATCCCGAGAGCCAAAGTCGTAAAACAGACAACGTCTAACCCGAAATCCTTCGTACAACCAGTCGGCCACGCTGATCGCAGGCAAATAGGAAGTCAACACAAACACGAAAGAAATGCGACATCACGTAAAGAAACCACTGAAGATTCGCCGAATCAGTAAACTGCTGGATCCCTTCAGGGTGCGTCCTCTGCGAACACGAGTCCCACTGGAACGACACAAAAAGGAATACCTCTTGGCGCCCCCACCCTGCCTAACGCTAAGGGCATCAGATAGACAACTTACCGATCGAACCGAGCAAAAGTGTTCAAGAAGCCAAGCAGATGCATGTTCGCCCAAAATTCTTGAACAACTGCAAATATAATCGTCCAAAGGACCACAGG